AGGTCGTGCTTGTAGACTTACGACGACTGGTAGGAAGGAAAATGAAGAAAAAAATCCACCTAAGGTTAGAAGGAAGAAGAAGAAGGCTGATGTAGTGCGTCCTGACGGCCACCCTACTGTGAGGCAGTTGTCTCTTAGTCGAGGTACTACCAGTACTCCTACACCAGATAGCGCACCGGTGTGGCAGGCTAATTGGAGTGATTCCATTGACGAGGATGATGATGATGATGATGACGGTGATACTGAGGTTGGGAATGCCCCAGATGCTGGTGATGCTGCTGGTGATGATGCTGGTGATCGTGCTGGTGATGCTGAGGTTGGGGATGCCCCACCTCAAGCTGATTTAGGCGTGGGGAAGACGGCGCAGGTCGGGATATCTTCTACTGCCTCTTCACACTTCCGCGGGCCCGATGGACGCTATGCGTCCAGACCTAGTAGCGAGGAAGGCGGAGATGGAAATAGGAAGAGGAAGACCACGAGGAAAGATATGTCGTGGTTTCTTACATCCGAGTCTCCGATGTGTTCAGGCGGACCAGTGATTCCTGATGTGATCTCTAGCTTTGGAGGTCACATTGGCTTTGTACTGTGGACTTCCCCTGAGCAGGACTGTGGAGTGTTGGACGGCTTCCATAGGTCGAAAGCTGTAGAGACTTTGAGGCGATATAAGTGGAGTGCAGAGGGTTCCAAGGAGATGGTTGAAGTCACAGGATTGTCTCACTTGATGGGGCACCACCTATCTTATTTAAAAAAATAGATTAGTTGTACACTATATTGAGGACAATTGAACACAACTAATAGAAAAAGTTAATCTACCTGTATTTATATCATTGTCCGGAGTAGCAGTCGGAAGTCTTGAACTTCTCCTCCCTCGTCTCCTCTCCACATGCTCGAAGTGAGATAGGTTTCGAGTGGTGGACGTCCTTGGGCGACCGGGGCGGGGCTGTCCCCTATGCGGTTCATCAATGCCATCGTTTTTAGGATGAAGATGGCTCCGGAGTAGACCGATTGCACCTCGAATGGTCTCGTCACCTCTATCAAGAACCTACCGCGGGGGTAATCACTATGGTCATCCCACTCCGGCCGAGTAGGAGGTTCACGATAGTTGATAACGGTCCAGAATGGCAACACCTCATACAAGGCGAAATCCCGATTTTCACGTCGTGCTAACTGAATGGAACATCTACATGGGAGACCATAGGTAGGAGGAAACGTACATGTACAAGGTTCCCCTTCCACTGATACCTTGAACAACATCAACCTCAGAGCTTCTAGAGTGACTTTCGTATTCAACTCTCGAAATGGTTTTCCATCCGCTCGGAGCAGCTTCTTTTGTCGGGAATCCTCTAGAAGCTTCCTGATTTGAAGGTGTTGAGCCTCAATGTAATCATCGGTCTTCTTGAATATCTAAAGACAATGAAGAACAATTAGGAGACTACTAAAACTTATGTGTGTATCAATGAAGATTTATTAGGAGACTAACCGTGTCGACTGCGCCAGTAGATGATTGAAGCCACTTCTTGAAGGAGGAATAGGCAGCTTCAACCCTATTAGAGCTTGTGTTACCCAAATGCCGCACTTGATTGGTATAACATTTAGCCCACATGTGTCTAATTGGTAACCACTCAGCTGCCATATACCCCCAAAGACGTCGGTACTGTACTCCCCAACTACGTCTGAAATTGTCTAAGGCAGTATCCATGTCTTCCACTGTCAATGCATATACAGCACGTTGCCAAGACGCCATGATATGATCCACTGTCGGTTTGGCTGCATCTATACCACAATGAGTCGTCCTTCGCACCTCCGCTAGACACTTTGCTCTCACATTCCTATCTATATGCCAAAGACATAATATATGAGTCGATGATGGAAACATTACCCCCACGGTCTCAACCAATCCTCCTGCCTTGTCACTGACAAACACATCTGGAACAATGGGGCCAAGAAGATGTTGCAAATGCGTCAGAAGCCACTGGTACGACTCCTTCGTCTCGTCGTACTCTATTGCTGATGCAATGACAAAGTTCAATCCCACTGGTGTCATGCCGACAATCTCAACCCAAGGCATAACATACTTATTGGTCTTTTATGTTGCATCTATCACGATCACATGGTGCCAAGCTCGCAACATCACTATTGTCTCGAGGTGGGCTAGGAACAAGTGTGTAAGCACGTTACGATCGTCCATATACTGCACATAGTAACCCTTCTCATGCGCCATGCGGAAAGTATACTGTAAGGCTGTCATCTGACCAAGCTCTTCTTTCCTTATCTTGTGACACTCGTTATAAATCTGCTTTCTGTTGTGTGCTCCATTTGCACCTTTTCTGTCATTCACTGCCTTGTGGATATTCCTTGGTGGGTCACCGGCTGATCTCAGCTCTCTGATGTATTGCTTATCCTCTGTAGTCAAAACATTCCTTCCTTTTGATCCCTCCGGAAATAGCTCCAACTGATGATTGTGGAAACCCAAATTAGCACCAGGATTCTTTGTATTTGCCACCCCTAGGATCAACCAATATCCATCACCGGACCGCTCAAGCTTGATCTGCAATGTAAGTAATGTTGCTAAGTACCTTCATTCTTATTTTTTTTGTTCGATGCCCTCACCAAATAAAACCCAAAACCCTTGGCAATCTCAGTAGCTGCTTCATATGCTTGCAACTCCGTAGTGTATTTCACGCCATCAATGAAATCCGAGGTGTAATCACGGCCATCCGGATTGTAACTTCCAATATCCTGCAATGTTATCAGAATTTATAAGTGATACCCCGCAAATTAAAAAAAAAAAAACTTAACATTCTATATCGTCAATTTAACGAGTATCATATGATAAATTTAAAATTTCATAACTATATTAAATTTAATAATCATCATAACTTCATATGCGAATCTATTATTTATGCAATAAATTTAATCTTAATTTGTAATGCAAAATCTAATCTTAATTTTCTAGATTAAGACCAAATTAAATCTAATCTTAATTTAATGCCAAATCTAATCTTAATTTCTAATGCTAAATCCTTCAATCTCAAAAATAATTATGCAAATAAATCTAGAAAATTATATAAATCAAACCCCAACAAATTATTTCATGGAACAAATCATAAATCATATAAAAAATAGAAAATACTGATTTGAAAAAAAAACCCATAAAATGCTGAACCGCAAGTGACCTGCGGTTGAACCATGGCTGAACCGCAAGTGACCTGCGGTTGGACCATGGTTGAACCGCAGCTCAGTTGCGGTCCAACCATGGTCCAACCGAGGTCACTTGCGGTCCAGCCATAGTACAACCGCAGGTCACTTGTGGTTGGACCATGGTCGAACCGCAAGTGACCCGCGGTTCCCATTTTCTGTGTTTTTTTTTTCAGTTAATGTTTTTACCTCGTCGGAGTCGCTACTCATGATTCAGACATCCTACCGACGATATCGGCTTCAAAATGAAGATGATGGATTTCTCTCTCCTTAGATAGTGTTTTTTTAGTCCAAGTGATGTTTGTTTGAGGAAGGGAAGGTAAAGAAACTAAGGGGGTTAAAAGTGTAACTTTGATACTTTTTAGAGCGACCTTTAGCAATTTTAAGGGCGACCTTTAGCAACTCCCTTCATTTTTGCTTCTCCTGACTAAAGTTCGTGGGTTCTCATGTTAATACTGAAAGTTTGTTATTGATTAAATACTAATTATCCAATTGCCTGTTTACAATTGTTTTCAAGGGTGAAATCCGAGTATTCCCTGAAGAAGAACGAGAAAACTACGGTAAAGAATTTACAGTGACTTTCCAGTAATACCCGTGATTGGGAATGGGGTGCCTTCAAGCCTTCTGATGGGTTTCAGTCCCAAATTCCTTTTCTCCCTGAGCCTTCAAACATCGAACTCAGCTTAGGTTAACGAATGATTGCCCTTTGACTTCGTTCTTGCTCTCGAATAATGTTTTCGAATCATTGTGCAGCGATTTCACTTTTTCTTTTTATTTTTTTTTTTTATTTGCTTTCTTCCGTTGTTGCAATGTGCAGCTTGAAGCAGGGATTCATTGTCATGAACGTCAAATGCCCCTAGTCATTTAGAAAAGGAAAACACGTTTCACTTACCAACCGGGGTGGGGTTTCTTCTTATATTATTCGCACAGACTCATCTCCCCTAAATTTCCGCTCTCTCCCCACCATTACCATCAGTCCATCACAGCCAAAAACCCACAGTCAACAAATGGAATTCTACCCCTGCTCTGTTCGGTTAACAACTAGATTCAGGATTTCTTTCAGAGTTTGTCCCCAAAATATTTGGGCCCTCTTCTCTTGTCCCTCTCAATAATTGAAACTTGTACTCTCCTGTCCTCGGTATGCCTTCCTGCTTCACTCCTGCTCCTCTCTTCATATTTCTGACGTCTAGCCTTGTGCTTCTTGCAAAACTCCATTCCCTGGGATTGTCCTCTGTGTCCCCCACACCTTGTTCGTTTTGTTCTGTTAAAGAATCCCTTTTCTTGACCTTTAACAAACAAAAAGCCAAAACAAAAAAAAAAAAAAAAAAAGAGAAAACAGAGAAGGGGAGACTTCTTTTACCTTGCTCTTGGACTTTTTCCATCTTCCAACTTCTTCCCTTCCTTCACTCTCTCCATCTCTCTCTGCCTGCTCATTGCTTTGTATCTTTCCATTGAGCATAGAACTCGTCAAATTTCTTGGTTTTTCCTATTTATATATTAATCAAACGCCACATTGTGTTCAAGCTTCCGGCATTTATTCCCGGGGGAGAGAAAAGAGAGGTGCTTTAGTTTTTTGGGTATTGTACCAGGAAAGTATGACAATGTCATAGTCAGGGGGAAATAGTTGAAGAAAGATTTTGGGCTTTTTGGGCAGGGTTGGATTCAGAACCCGAAACCTGCCAGGAGTTTTGAGTTTTCAGGATTTCGTGTGTTTTTACATTGTTTGTACCATGGGGGATGGATTGTTTACCTAGTAAAGAGGAAAAAAAGGAGGCCGTAGAACTTTTTTGTCTTCAGTTCAGATGGGAAACAATTGTGTTCAAGCAAAAGGTGCACAAGCACTTGCCGGAGGAATATGCAATCCAGAATGGTGGTCAAATTCAACAGTTGGCATGCTGAAACCAACCAAGACACACAAGAACATTGAAGCTGACAGTGTTGTTAATTCTGGAAAGGTTCCTGGTAAGCCTCCCAAGCAAATGAAGATGGAGAAGAAGCCATGCGAGAAGAAAGAAGAGGAGAAACATATGGCAGTAGATCCCGAGAAGGCTCCAAAGTCGCTCGAAGAGAAGAACGCAGAAGCCAAGCTGTCTCCTGAAGAACCACAAAATAAGGTTGTTAGAGAAAAGAGTCATTCCCCACCACACAAGCCCAAGAAGGAGCCCAATCCCAATCAGGTTCTACAGAAATTTGCTATATCACCACCATTGCAGGATCAAGCTAAGGTGGCAATCCAGCAGTCACAACCTCCACCGGACTTGGCTGATGTAACAATGGTCAGGCCACCACTTCAGCCACTGCAAACTCAGGCTCCTCAAGCTCTGGTGGCAATTCAGTCACAGTCAAAGAAGCAGCATCCGAAGTCAAAAACTGTTGAAGCCAAGAATCCAGGTGGGGAAGTTGTTCCTCCTACTGCTGGTGGAGGAAAGCCTGCAAATAAAGCTCACAATGTTAAGAGAATGGCAAGTGCAGGGCTTCAAACTGATTCGGTGTTGAAAACCAAGACGGGGCACTTGAAGGAGTACTTCAACTTGGGAAGGAAGCTTGGCCATGGTCAATTTGGGACCACTTTCTTGTGTGTGGAGAAGGGAACCAAGAAGCACTATGCTTGCAAATCCATTGCAAAGAGGAAGTTGTTAACCATGGATGACGTGGAGGATGTGAGGAGAGAGATCGAGATCATGCATCATTTGTCTGGCCACCCTAACATCATACGAATCAAGTCGGCTTATGAAGATTCTGTAGCGGTTCATGTGGTGATGGAGCTTTGTTCCGGTGGTGAGTTGTTCGATAGAATCATTAAGAGAGGGCATTATACAGAAAGGAAAGCTGCAGAGATCACTAGGACTATATTTGGTGTGATACAGACTTGTCATTCACTTGGTGTCATGCATAGGGATCTCAAGCCTGAGAATTTCCTGTTGATTGATGAGAATGAAGAGTCTCCTCTCAAGGCTATCGATTTCGGACTATCTGTCTTCTTCAAACCCGGTGAGATATACGCAGAAAAAGAACAGTACTATTTGGTTACTTGTAGTAGATGCTTAATGTTTTGAACGAGGGCGGAACTTGAATTGCAGGGCAGGTTTTCAATGACGTGGTTGGAAGCCCTTACTATGTTGCACCAGAAGTTTTGAGGAAAAGGTATGGTCCTGAAGCTGATGTTTGGAGCGCTGGAGTTATGGTCTACATTCTCTTGAGTGGGGTGCCTCCATTTTGGGCAGGTAAAATCTTAAGAGTTTTTTACTAATGTACGATGCAAACTTATTGCCTTAAACTTACCAAATTTGATGTTCACTCTTCTTGTAATGTAGAAACTGAGGATGAGATTTTCCAGGAGGTTTTGCATGGGGAGTTAGACTTCACCGCATATCCGTGGCCTCATATTTCAGATAGTGCGAAAGAGATAGTGAAAAAAATGCTTGTTAGGGATCCAAAGAAGAGGATAAGCACCCACGAAGTTCTTTGTGAGTCTCTCCCGTTGTGTGAAAATCAAGTTCTCTCTAATGCCATGTTTTTTCATCTGAAAGTCTAGAATTTGACACGATTGTCCTTTGGCAGGCCACCCGTGGGTGAGAGAAGATGGAGTGGCGCCGGACAAGCCTCTTGATCCAGCTGTGTTGTCACGTTTGAAGCAGTTCTCTGCTATGAACAAGCTAAAGAAAATGGCTCTCAGAGTAAGTTCCACTCCATGTTTCCATCTTTTTTGTAGATTTTCAATCGAGGGAAATAATCAAATTATGATCATTGACATCTATTATTATTGGCTTGTGATACAGGTAATTGCAGAGAAGTTGTCTGAAGAAGAGATTGCAGGATTGAGGGAGATGTTTAAGATGATCGACACAGATAACAGTGATTCCATTACCTTTGAGGAACTCAAAGTTGGACTCAAAAAGTTTGGCGCAAACATTGACGAGTCTGAAATCTATGACCTTATGCAGGCGGTAAATACTGCAAATACATTACATGCTTGTCCTACTGAGTTGGAAGGTCCATTAAGAAATGAAACCAGTAAAAGTAAAATCATCCGTTTGCAGGCTGATATTGACAATAGTGGAACAATCGATTATGCGGAATTCGTAGCTGCAACACTGCATCTGAATAAAGTTGAGAGGGAAGACCATCTGTTTGCGGCCTTTTCGTACTTTGACAAGGATGGGAGTGGCTACATAACTATTGATGAGCTCCAGCAAGCATGCAATGAGTTTGGCATGGAGGATGTCTGTTTGGAAGAGATGATTCGAGAAGTAGATCAGGATAATGTAAGTGAAGCGATTCCTGGAAAGTTTTTGTCCTTGCAGTATATGAGTTTACATTATATTAATATTATGTGTTGATTTATTGGTTTTGGTGGCGGCTTGCAGGATGGTCGCATAGATTACAATGAGTTTGTGGCAATGATGCAAGTGGGCAATGCTGAGATCGGTAAGAAGGAGGTGCAAGGTAAAAATGTAGGGATTTCATTTAGGGAGGCAGTGCCAGTTTGCTGAGAGATGAAGTTTGTTTGTTATTTTAGTCAAGCTTCTTCTAATCTACTGATTCGTTCCTTTTTTTTTCATTTATATCTCATATTGGGGTTTTGGTTTTGATTCCAAATCTCATTTTGATAGATTTATTTAAACAATTCACACTTCATGACACATGTAAGGTGTTGGTATATGATGTGTTGAGAGAACCACCACACAAGAAATTTATTGTTTTTCAATTTTCTAATTCAATTTTTCTTTTGTCTGGATTGATAATCATTAATCGATCTCTTTTTTAAATTGATCTAAATCTATAAAATATATAAAGACTTTTCCAATAACCACCTTTACCGTTTCAAAAATCCAGCCCTCCTACGCATCCACATCAGCAACCATTCCACCAATCAGATTTTTTCTTAACTTCCCTTTCAACCAATCAGATATTTTCGTAACTTCTTTTTTTCTTTTCATTATAATTTTTCTTTGTAGTTATTCTGTACTCCAATTAGATTGTGCCACTTAACACACACTCTCTCTCTCTTATTTTTCAATCACCATACTATTCTTATTCGATCCATATTTTTTCCGCTTCAACTCCGAATTTAAATATTGTTGCGCAAAAAAATCAGATTTTATGTGATCTACTCAATAATACCTATTTTGAAATAAGTTGAATTTTTTTTCTTTCAAAAATATTATCACAATCATATATTCACAAGTCACTCTAATATTCGATAGTTGCTAAACTATATCAATATCATTCGATTCTACCGTTATAAAGTATATACTACGATAGATCACAAAACAAATTTCTTATTCTAATGAGTTACTAAATTATATCAATGTTTAATTTTGTACTATCATGATAGTAATGCACAACAATTTCATGGGTGTTAAAATATTGTCGTGTGGTACAAACTAAATTACGTTAAAGAAAAATCACTTCCGGCCAACTGATCAAGCTCAAAGGTACACATGATTCGGGATGAGAGACGGCAATGATAGCCTGAACAAAATAGACAATGTAGGAAAAAAAATATTCCATAAAACATATTTCAAACAAAATTTACCCTGCCAACGGACCGGGTACAAGCTAGTTTTTATACATACCATTAAGTCTTTGTTCTGGTTTTTTGCATAATTAGTAATGGATGAACCATGTAAACAATTTTCTTAACTTCTTCCCCAAACATATTTAAGTATTTCTTTTTAATATTTGTGGGCATGAATTTTGTTAATGAGAGTATTCTATATCACTCAATCGAGGCAAGTGTACCTCAATCGAGTGGCATAGTGTAAAATTGACCTTCAAGGTTGTATTCTCAGTGACAGAGACAGGAACTTAAATTACCTCTGTCCTCTTTTCAAAATATAAATATAATAAATATTTAATTAATACATACAATTGAAATAAATTATATCTAATTAATCCATTCATAAATAAAAATTAACTGAGTAATACAATAATTGTTTTTATAAACAACCACCCCAGATTTTTCATATTTTGAAAGAAATGTAAAATACATTTGTTATCTACACTCTTAAGTAAGTCTCTTTAAATATATCTCACTAACAATCATTAGCGAAGTCATCTCCAATTCAATCTTGAAACTTGATATTGGCCGCTGGGCATGAGAGAATTTCGAATGAATCCCCTTTATCCAAGTCGTTGGACGCCTGATGCGGTTGTGAAAAAAAGAGGAGGGCCAAGGAGTAAAGAGATTGGATTAGGTTTTTATTCAATTGGTTTTCGTTTATCGTAGAATAAATTGTTTTTTTGTTAACATATAAACAAATTATTTGATGTGGTGCAGTGGTAAAACTTGCTTGCGATAACTCTTAGTGTTGGGTTCTGTACACAGATCAAGCATAAGTTGGGTTTTTTTCCAACCCAAAAAATGACCCCTGTCTTGGGACAAGGGCAATCTTAGTTGCCTCCACCAATGCGTATTCCCATGGGATTCTTAGGTCTACTATAACTTTGCCTTAAACTATTTATTAATCAACCTATAATTTTTATTTAAGAACGAACTGAACATACTAATTAGAAAGAAATAAAAACTAACTAGTTCGGGATGACGATAGAGATTAGATAGTTACTTAGGATCGAATCCTTATAGTAGTAGGACGATTATATGATTGATCCAAGCCTTAGCATGACTTACCTATCTTCTATGCTACGAGAAATTACTTAGACTAGTGGTTGATGTAAGGTCATGTAAAAAAACCTAACTTTTAGGTATCTATGTTAGCTAAATGGTCATGTAACTAACTAGGTACCTAAAGCATTAGGTCTAGAATCTCCAATGAGATTAATCCCTATAAGAATTGAACTTTGACTCAATGGCGATGTAATCCAAATTTCACAATACTTTGTGTTCTAGTCTTAGCCTAAGGGGATGGTCACCTCAACTTAGGTCAAGCACGAAGCAATAACCACATCTATTGAAGCAAGAGATTAGCATTATTAAACATCAAATAGACATAGATAGGCAGAAGATCAAGCTAAGTTCACATTCAATCAACAAAATCCAACTTCATACTAGAATTCATATGTCCTAAGCAACTAGAGGAGTTTAAGTCATAAAGAGCAAAAGAAAATAAAAACTAGAAAGAGCAACTAAACATATTCTCCTTGGAATGAACCCTTCTGCTTGGTTCTTGGATGGATCCTTCCTTACTTATCTCTTTGAAGGATTTTCTCTCACTAAGAAATCTCCAAAATCCTAATTTTTCACTTGAGGTAGACTCCCCTTCATCAAGTGCTGACAAGGGGCTTTTATAGTGAAATTCGGGGCACGTCATGAGCATGGGGTGTGACTCGAGGGATGTTCATGAATTTCGTGACTCTAGTGAAATGGTGAGCAAAAGATAGGTTCCGATCGTGTTACTTCCATGAACATGAATTTAACCGTGCCCTTAACATATAAAACAATGTTGAATCATCGAGTTTGACATGGCTCGCAGGCTCTGACATCACTATTGTGATCTTTATCTCGTGATTGACCCTTGTTGGTTGCGAGTCTAGCCATGAAATATTCTACTCCATTGTTTCTTCTGCTCATGGCTCAAATGAAATATCGCAATCGTGACTTGGCGATGTGGCTGTGGCATGGCCAAAATTCCTCTTTTCTTGATCCTATGCATTGTCAAAGTGGCCAGATAAACTCAAAATCGATCTCGAATTTATTGAATATAAATATTCGACCAGGAACATCATTAAAAACACCAAGCAAGCCTAACATATGACAAAAGAGTAGATATAGTTTCATATGAATAGCACTTAAAGCAACCTTACTCAAACTAAAGCTCATAGTTTAACTTATATTATCATAAAAAAAAAGTTTACAAAGTGGTCTAAGTACGATGATTTCGGCACACAAACACCTAATTTATGGAGGTAAAAAGTGATCAATTTAGGCGTTATCAAATATAGGTGCGTTGGATATGCTCAGACTTCATGCAGAAAGACAATTCTTGTCATGAATCCATCCATTATCAAAGATTATTTTATCAAGGTATTTGATCCATTATATTATGCTAATTCTATTAATATTCCTTGCTGAAAAACCCTATGGTCATGGCTACTCCTACAAAGAGTTTATTAGAGCTAAATCTCTAAACTCCAACAATGGCTACAAAGAAAGAAGAAGTGACAATGAGTTATCTAGGGTAATTCTTCCATTCCAACTCAAGGATTGTCTTTCAGTGTTTATGAAGTGTGCATTCGAGAAGTTAAGAATTGGAGTTACTTTATCAATAGTCTTGCTCTAGTTAACATTGGTTTGAAATTGCATCGACTTCACTTCATAAACAAAGCTACTACACTAGCCTTTTAGATCATGTATTGTCTTAGAGAATATTAATTCAAAACAAGTTGAGTATTGAGAGCGTGACATAATAAAAAAAGTGAAAATTTTGTACGTAGCACACACGATTTATCCCCAAAATGCGTAGATACAATTCTACATATTGAAGGTAGAAACACGCTAAACAGCCTTCTCAACCTCACTCCACACTTTAAATTAGACAATATCTTCATTGGTCCAAACATAAAGTAAGGGAAGGTAAAATCAAGTTATCTTAAGTGATGATAAAAAAAAAAACGAGATAGATCACAAAAGACACATGAAATAAATTGATGGAGGAGAAATTCTGGATGCCTCTAAATAGCACTTGCATTTTTCGTCCTCAAGTTATATGTCAGACATGGGTTGCCGCCCATGAAACACTCTTTCTTGTACGCCTTTGAGCTAGGTGTAGCTTGCAAAATCAAGGGCCTCCCCAATGATAACACCAAAAAGCTGTTAATTAGCCTTCATTTATTAGGTGTTTTATTGTCATTTTGAGCATGATTCAACTTATCAAACATCATTTGTAGCGGAGATCACTTCCATTTTTATATCATGTTATTCTAGGTTGCATTTGACGTTATAGGAAAAGGAGCCAAAAATGGAGTTTGCAGTTGAAGGAGCCAAGATTGCAGCCATCAGTCTCAAGATCACGGCCATGAAGTGAGGGCGTGAAATAGAGAACCAAGATCGCAACCTTGAATCCAAAGATTACGGTCGCGAACAATAGAGTTTCTGGCGGGAACTTGGAGATGAAACCGTCAAGGAAGGAACAAAAAGTCTTTATAGTCAACTCACGACTCTCTTCATCCCAGTCCGAGAGAAAGGTCCCAGCTGTGACTCACGGATCATAACAAAACCAAAGCTGTTGAAGCCAAGATCGCAGTCTCTCCCCCAAATATCACGACCACGATCTTAAGCCCCTTGCCCGCGAACTTCGCCGCGTCCTCAGAATTCTATACTCCTCAAGATCGCAGCCTCTTTCCGAAAGATCATGGTCGTGATCTTCTGCACCGTGCACGTGAACTTGTCCGTGCCTGCTGAATTCTATTAACAGAGGACTCCGATTCATAGGAGTGCACCCATGTTTCTGCTTTACGAATATGATATTTTCTGGGCATTTCTAATAATATCAAGTATTATTCCTATTTTGGCATTTCTAATTTCCCGAGTTTTATCCCCGATTAGCAAAGGTCCCGAGAAGCTTTCTAGTTATGAATCGGGTATAGAGCCGATGGGCGATGCTTGGGTAAAATTTCGAATCCGTTATTATATGTTTGCTTTAGTTTTTGTTGTTTTTGATGTTGAAACCGTTTTTCTTTATCCATGGGCAATGAGTTTTGATGTATTGGGGGTATCCGTTTTTATAGAAGCTTTAATTTTTGTGCTTATCCTAATTGTTGGTTCAGTTTATGCATGGCGAAAGGGAGCATTAGAGTGGTCTTAGCTCTGGAATATTCCAAAAAAAATAATGAAAAAAAAAATAACATCGAGACTGTTATGAATTCCATTGAATTTCCCTTACTTGATCGAACAACTCAAATTTCAGTTATTTCAACTACATCAAACGATCTTTCAAATTGGTCAAGACTCTCCAGTTTATGGCCACTTCTCTATGGTACCAGTTGTTGCTTCATTGAATTTGCTTCATTAATAGGCTCACGATTCGACTTTGATCGTTACGGACTAGTACCAAGATCGAGTCCTAGACAGGCAGACCTGATTTTAACAGCCGGCACAGTAACCATGAAAATGGCTCCTTCGTTAGTGAGATTATATGAACAAATGCCTGAACCAAAATATGTTATTGCTATGGGAGCATGTACAATTACCGGGGGAATGTTCAGCACGGATTCTTATAGTACTGTTCGAGGAGTCGATAAACTAATTCCTGTAGATGTCTATTTGCCGGGCTGCCCCCCTAAACCCGAGGCCGTTATAGATGCTATAACAAAACTTCGTAAAAAACTATCTCGCGAAATTTATGAAGATCAAATTAAGCCTCAACAGGGGAATCGGTGTTTTACTACCAATCACAAATTTCATATTGGCCGCACTACTCATACTGGAAATTATGATCAAGAATTACTCTATCAACTATCGTCTATCTCAGGAACCCCCCCTGAAAAATTTTTCAAATACAAAAGGTCCATATCGTCCCATGAATTAGTTTAGTAAATTCGAGGAAGGATTCTTTTGTACAGAATCAAGTCAATCTTCAGAAATTTCATCGTATCATAAATGAGAAATACTTATACAAAAAAATGCGGGAGAGAGAAAAAAGATGCAGGGTCCTTTGTCTGTTTGGTTGGTCAAACATGGACTAGTTCATAGAACTTTGGGCTTTGATTACCAAGGAATAGAGACTTTACAAATAAAGCCCGAGGATTGGCATTCCATTGCTGTCATTTTATATGTATATGGTTACAATTATCTGCGTTCCCAATGTGCCTATGATGTAGCACCGGGCGGGCTGTTAGCTAGTGTATATCATCTTACGAGAATAGAGTATGGTATAGATCAACCAGAAGAAGTATGTATAAAAGTATTTGCCCCAAGGAAGAAGCCCAGAATTCCATCTGTTTTCTGGGTTTGGAAAAGCGCGGATTTTCAAGAAAGGGAATCTTATGATATGTTGGGAATCTCTTATGATAAGCATCCACGTCTGAAACGTATCTTAATGCCGGAAAGCTGGATAGGGTGGCCTTTACGTAAGGATTATATTGCCCCCAATTTTTATGAAATACAAGATGCTCATTGAAATTCAATAATAAGAAACTAATTATTCAAGGAATATTTGTACGTTCTCTTATCTATTCTAGATCAACAGAGTGGTTGAAATTTCATTCCTATTATTGAATTTATTATGGAATATCGAAAGAAAGGACTAAAAAACAAAAAAAGATAAGAATTAGGGAGTTCTTGGATGGATTATCTAATTTGAAAGATATAACGCTATTTAGTTCGGACGAGTCTAGTTAATAGGATGAAACTAAAGGAGTTTTGCCTCATGAACTTTGTACTGCGCATATCCTTTAAAGGAGCTATATATATATATATTTAACAAGAGATAATCATATATTGAATCAAATCAGAAGATAGTTACATCCTGGAGTTAAGCCAGGCCCGGAAATCAAAAGAGCGACTCGCAGTCGGGTACAAGGAAAGGGCTTTACGAGCCACCGAATGGGCTACCCTATTACTACTCCGACCTACAAACCGCACACTAAACCCAGAAGCGCTATGAAAATACATCTGAAGTTCCTCCAAGATAGCACCGACTCGGTGGTCTCTAGTATCCGCACGATTAATCTTATCAATGATAATCTTGGCATCTCCTTCAAAATGCACTACTGCAAGGCCAAGCTCTAAGCACCAAAACACAGCCTCACGCAAGACAAGCAATTCCACCACAAGAGGATCATCCATCCCAGGAAACCACACCCCCCTTACCAGCCAAACATCCCTAGAAGGAGTAAAGAGAACTACCCCACCAGCCGCGTGGGATCCACTCCGAACAGCCCCATCCCACATACACACAACCCCCTCAGCCAGGCCCAGATGGTGCGCCACCGGGGGAGTAAGTGAAATAGATCCACGAGCAGGATCCGCCGGCAACCTGATCCACTCCTCATATTGTTGCTGAAACTGTCGCATCAAAGCCGAGAACCCAAACTGCTTGCCCTCAAAGACCACCCAGTTTCGGGATCGCCATATACGCCACAGAACAGCAACCAACGCCATAAATAGGGATGGCTGGTGAATCAGAGCCATTAACTTCTTCAGAAACATCGGAAAAGTGTGGCGGGGGAGTCCCTCCCCCAAGGAGGCCAGCCCCGAAAGATCCCATAGGGCCCGAGCAACAGGACAATCCAAAAACAAATGCTCCAAAGTTTCCTTACTGGCCCAGCAAACCGGACATCGAGGATGAACCTGCACCCCCCTTTCTAATAGAGCCTCCGTAGTGGGCAAAATGCGATTAAAGATCTGCCAGACAAAGATTTTAATCTTAGGAGGGATATTCGAGTCCCATAAACGAATCCAGGACGACTTGTCCATCCACCCCACCACGGATCGCCAACCCCTTTGTCTCCTATCAATATCCATCGCCAAATGATAAGCCGACTTAACCGTGAAGACCCCATCCACCGTTGCATGCCAAATCAACTTATCCTCCACATTCTGACGCGGTAGAGTGATAGCCCCACAGGTTGGTGGGTCAAACCACCAACCCATCTTACTATCATCCCAGCTCCCCCCCCCCCCCCACAGAACACATAACCTCAGCAACCCGGGGGCTCCCCCCCCCCCCCCCTCCGGCAAAACCCGAGGATTATAAACAGGGGGATCACTTTGTAGCCGAGGAATCCAGTTAGAGGTCAGCAAGGGCGCCGATTGGCCATTCCCGATTTGCCACCGCAGCCCCTGCACCAACAGCTGCCTACCAAACAAGATGCTCTGCCAACCCCAAGAGGGTCTGGATCTAGCCGACGCTTCCAAAAAAGACCCATTGGGAAAATACTTCCCTTTATACACCTATGCCAAAAGGGAATGGGGTTCATTGAGGATTCGCCACCCAATTTTAGCAAGCAAGGCCTGGTTGAATTGCTCGAAGCGACGAAACCCCAGCCCACCCTCATGCTTACTACGGCACAAGTTCCGCCAAGACATCCACCGAATATGAGAATGATCCGCAGAGTCACCCCACCAAAACCGAGCCACATGCCTATCTAAAAGCCGACAAAGGGAAAGAGGCAACTTAAAGCAAGACATCATGTGCAAAGGTAACGCCAAAGCAACGGATTTAATCAAAGTTTCCCTAGCCGCCCAAGATAAGGTTTTCCGTTTCCACCCCTGAAGACGGTCCAGCACCTTCTCCTCCAAGTATCTGAACGTAGCCATTTTCGAGCGAGCGATGAGCGTAGGCAAGCCCAAGTACTTATCATTGACACCGACCGCCCCAACACCCAGAATTGCGGCCAAGAACTCCTGGTCCTCCTGGATAACATTCTTGCTAAAGCAAACAGCCGATTTATCCAGGTTCACCCGTTGTCCACTCAACTCCTCATATTCGTTTAGGACCTCAATCAAGTTTTCACACTCCCGGAGTGTCCCTCGCAAAAATAGATAAGAGTCATCCGCAAAAAATAGGTGCGATATACGAGGCGCACGAGGGGCCACCTTAACTCCCTCCAATTTCTTTTCTGAGATAGCCTTGCGAAGAAGGGCCGCAAAGCCCTCTGTACAGAGCACGAATAAAAGTGGAGAGAGAGGATCCCCCTGCCGAAGCCCCCTTGAAGGAGTGAAAAAACACGAAGGAGTCCCATTCATAAGCACAGAGAATGATGACGACCGAAGACACTCTCGAATCCACCCCTGCCAGGTAGAGTTAAACCCATCTTATCCAAAACCACAAAGAGAAAGGTCCATTCGACTCTATCATAGGCCTTTTCCATGTCAACCTTTAGAGCCATGTACCCTTTCTTACCTCGCGTTTTGATCTTAAGATAATGCATTAATTCATGCCCCAGGAGAACATTATCCACAATTTGGCGTTCCCGGATGAAGGCATTCTGCCCATCGGAGACAATCATAGGCAAAAGGCAGGCAAGACGCTCAGCCATGATCTTAGTAATTATTTTGTAAACGAACTGGCAAAGGCTGATAGGACGCAGCTGCCGCATAGTTTCCACATTATCAACCTTGGGGATCAATGTGAGCCACGTATGATTAAAGCTACGAAGCATACGACTAGTAGCAAAGAAAGAGCACACTGCTTTAGTCACCGAGTCGCCCACAATATCCCAAAATGCCTTAAAAAAACTTCCCCGTAAAACCATCGGAACCCGGAGCCTGCTTAGAACCCATGGCAAATACTGTTTTACGCACCTCAGCAGGGAGAACCTCAGCAGTGAGGCCGGCATTCATCTCAGGGGTAACACATTGAGCAATAGGCAAGGATGCCACCCGCTCAGCCATATTATCCACTTGGTTCTCTGAGGCAAACAGGTGCTGATAGAAAGAAGTAGCTATTTCAGCTTTTCCACTCTCATCAGAAACCCACTCCCCATCATCCCTGCGAAGGCCAGCCACAAAATTTCTTTTGCGACGGGCTCTAGTCACATTATGAAAGTAGGACGTGTTTTTATCACCCTTCTCGAGCCAGTGGACCCTAGACTTCTGCTGCCAGAAAAGTTCCTCCGCCTCCCATTGCCGACTCAACTCTGCCTCCATCCCTCGGACCACGTCCCAGTCAATAGGCTGAATCAACTTGACCCTATCAATCTCGCCCTGGAGAATCCGAATATTCCGCAAGGAATTAGTCGTACCCGCTCTACTCCAATCATATAGTAGATGTCGAAGTTTTTTCAGGCGCTCCCAAAGGCAGAACATAGGGGTCCCTTGAACCTCCTCCTGCCAGACATAGGTTACCATCGCCCTAACTTCTGGGTTATCTGCCCAACGGGCATCAAAACGAAAGAGGGGCCGGCAATGGCGCCTATAAGGCTTATCCGACAGGAGGAGGGCTCTATGGTCAGAGCCTTGGTCCGTAAAGTGCTTCAGTAAAGTTTCAGGGAATTGATCAATCCAGGCATGGGAGCACAGGGCCCTATCCAACCGCTCTCTAATACAAGCAGTGCCCATTCGTTTATTCGTCCAAGTGAAGAGGTCACCTTGATAACCAGGATCGTGGAGCCCCAAATCATTAATAAAGTTCCGCAAACTGATTGAGTTATTGGCATTCCAAGGGTTACCACCATCTTTTTCGCTATCAGACAGGATCGTATTAAAGTCACCAATAATCACATAAGGGAGATGGAAAGCAGAACAGATTTCTTGACGGTGGGCCAATTGGGCCGTTCTAACAGAAACCGAACAATTAATATAAACACAAACCACGATATAAGAAAAACCAACTTCATTAATCTGGATGCAAATACAGAAGCTGGAAGAATAAAAAATAGAGCATCAACATCAGGGGACCAGGCAAACACTAGCCCACCAGATGCATCTACCGCATCAACAAAAAAACACCGAGAAATATCAAACCCTAAGCCCCGCATACGACGTGAGACAACACGCCGGCTAGACCGCGTTTCAGAGAAAAACACGAGCTCCGGGTTGTTGGAACGGACCAAACCCACTGCCGTTTGGAATGTGAGAGAAGGTCCAAC